TTACGACTTTATTCTCATAATTTTACGATTTTATTCTCACAATTTTAGGACTTTATTCTCACAATTTTACGGCTTTATTCTCGTAAATGTACAACTTTATTCTTCTAATTTAGTGACTTTATTCACGTAATTTTCTGACTTTATTCTCGTAAATGTACAACTTTATTCTGGCAAATAACCAACTTTATTCTCGTAATGTTATAATTTTATTCTTTATTCTGGTATTAATAGAATCTGTAGGCTGTTCCTGATGCTTTGTGGTATTTTCTAACGGAGCAGGAGGTCTGTGTGTTTTTTTTCTGTGTCCGTTCAGGAGCTGCTCCTCCCCCTGATGCTCCTCGGTCTCCTCATTCTCATCAGCACAATGAACCCTCATGTTTATTATGAAGGCATCAGCACCAAGGAGCTGGAGGATGACAACTTCTTCCAGAACATCAGAGGCCTGGGCTACACGCCCATCACCAACATCACCACCGACATCATGGAGGAAGTGGCGGCTCGTTTACTGAGTGAGTCACAGCAACGTTTCCAGGGTCCTGATCCCAGAAAGCGTTTGAAGAGTTCGGGGTAAATCTGTAATTTCGCTGGTTTCAGAAACCTTATAGTCGAGCCTTCCAGCGCCTGCTGGATGCGTTTCACATGGACTCGCAGAGGCACTCATTATTATAAAGTGTTAAATAGGTGCAGATCCCATCAGATCCCACTCATTCACTGGCTGCCACCTTAAACCTCCTTGTTTTACAGCTGGAACCTTTTGCTTTGCCTTTTCAGATGAGAAATGTAACTTTGAGGTTTCTAATTTGATCCTGAGGGCCGACTGAACATCACCTGTTCTGAAACCTGAGATCCTGAATAATGAGGAGCTTCTCTCTTCTAGAGTTAATCCGGATTTGTGAAGCAGCCTGGTTTCGTTCTGCACTCAAAGACGCCCTGGAGGTGAAGGAGGCTGATAAACGTTTCCCTGTTTGTGTCAGCAGATGTGCAGTATCACCTGGAGTCGTTCACCAGCGAGGAGGATCTGGAGAACGCCAGCCTGTACGAGCCGTCCAACTACATCGGCGTGGTGTTCCTGGACAGCGCCGCCACATCCTACAGGCTGCGCTTCCCACACCAAAAGCTGCCGCTGCCCAGCGATTATACAGAGTCCATCGGTACAAAATAATCAGCTGATTTACTGGATCTGATCTGAGGCTTCAGGCTGGAAACCTCCTCAGTTTGGACACAAAAATTCCAGAGAAATGGCTGGAAAAGCTTGTTTTGGATGGATGTTCGCCTGATCTTTGTTTTTCTCCCCGTAGCCAGCTGTTACAGCGTCCTGGAGAGATGCAGAGCTGCAAACTATTGGTTCTCTGGTTTCACCCGCCTCCAAACTATGATTGATGCCGCCATCATTCAGGTGAGACGAGCTGCACGCCGCCGTAATCAGAGAGCAACGGCTCTGTTCATAGCGAGTCCTCGACACGACACCAGTGAAGCTTTAACTGAAGATCAGATGTTAGAGAGGAAACCAAAAGATGGATCCTCAGTCACACCGTTGACTCCTGCTAGAAGCTGATCCCTTTTTTCCTCTTTATGTTCTATTAACAGTGGGACTAAAATAAAATGTTCTAATTAGAGCAAACTACAAGATTTATAATTAATAACATTTAATCCCAAACCCACATATTTACAAAATAAACACGTTTTTCAATTAAAAAAAGGCCATTTGCTCCTAAATGATTGAATAGATAAACCGATGAGCACAGAAACAGAAATATTAATAATTCTATTCAGTTTATTTCTATAGCTCCAATTCACATCATTTCATCTCAGGTCACTTTATAGAAAC